TCATGTTTGACGTATTAAGCTTTCTATAATAAAATTATTATTATTATTTTGGTCGAAAGTCTGAATTTTATAACAGTTAGACTGGGATTAAACCGGTAATGTTTGCTACATCGGTTAAAGCCATTTTTAGAGATCCGATCGACTTCTTCGTTTCTGGATCTGTTTACAAACACAAAAGAAACATTCATTGTTTTGGCGATTTCTTTAATAACATAAATTATAATGCTATAAACTTGTACATATATTAAAATACTTGTGTGACACCTTAATGATAAGATCGAAGACTAATAAAACATAGAAAGAGACAAACACCAACACCGTTTTCCTAATCTCATCCGTCTAAATGAATAATTGAAAGGAAAACAGAAACAATAACCCAAACGAATTAAGCCCAAACCCAAAGCCTAAAATTTATGTAAATGATGCTACACTATGATGCACTGGAACGGGTACGGGTGCAAAAAACGGGGACGGAAAACGGTAAAGTAAAATTTTCCTAGGTACGGGTACGGCAGGGTATTTCAATAAATATATAAGAAAATACCCATGGAATTATAAATGTAAGTCTTACATAAAAGAACAATTCGGTTTAATAGTTTAAAGCACAATAAAAAAAAAAAAAGCAAATCATTGAGCAATTCCACTTTCAAAATCAGGGTCATCTAATGAAAGTTCCGTAAACTCCAAGTTCCCTATGGCGTCCTCCATAGAATCTCATCCATCTCCACCAACATCCCACTCCTTACTCTTTTCAGCGTTATATTCATCCATATTCCTTGATAAAAGACGTAGATTGTTATGGATGAAAACCAAGTCTTGAGCACGGCTTGTTGTCAACTTGTTTCTTCTTAGRGAGTGAATGAACGAGTAAGTACTCCAGTTACGCTCAGCACAAGATGAAGAACTTGGTTGTCCAAGAACCTTAAAAGCCAAAGTCTYAAGGAGAGGAGTTTGAGCACCAAAGTTAGCCCACCAATACTTGGGTGGCATAGTAGACATCTCTGAAATGCTGTCTAAATCTTCAAAAGGACCACTCTTCAACGAAAATAATGCAAACTCAGTCATAACTTTACTTTGATCTTCAGTATTGGGAAACAGCCTACGAAAACACTTCATCCTCTCAGTTGAAAGTTCTCCATCCTTATGAGGAGCAATTCTTCTTGAATCCTCACTAAGCCATGCTTCACTATAGAAGCTACAACATACAAAAAAACGTGATATATATATATATGACACATGTTTGGCAATCAAACAGAAAAAGAAGTTTATATTAAAAATCATGTACCTTGGGTTTAAAGAATGAGCTAAACAATGTAGGGGATTGTTGTTCTTCGTCCAACGAGCCACTAAGATTTCTTCAACAACCTCATAGAAGAAACTAGTGTCAGACAATTCAAGTCCTTCTTTCTTGTATATCTCGGACTTCACCTTCTCAATCATTGAATCRCACATCTCATAAACCAAGTGCAAACAAGGCATGTTAGTGTCGCACGCCCTAATCATATCATAGATGGGTCTTGTGAAATCAWTGATATAAGACACCWTATCCCACCAATCATCATTCAGAATCTTGTCCTTAACAAATCTTGCTTTCTCTACGTCATCATCTTTATAAGTAGACCACTCGTCACTTATGACCATGMCTTGAAGGCCGACTTTGATAAGTTTCATTCTCTTAAGCATAACAACAACGGAAGCGAAACGCGTATCGGCAACCGAAAGCAACTTAAGAGGAGAGAACTTACTAAAGATCGATAGCCTCATGTTGTGGTTCATGATAAAGTTTTTGATGGCGAGAGCATCCCCATGGACGTGTGTTATCCAATTGCACGCACCATATGTTTCTGCATTCGCTTCCACGTTCCTTGCTGCACAAATATTCTTCAAAGCAAGATTGAGTGTATGAACAACGCATGGCGTCCAATAGATGTGAGGATACATAGCCTGAATTAAATCTCCAGCCGCCTTACAGTTTGCTGCATTGTCAGTGATGACTTGCACAACATTTTGATGGCCAATTTCGTTTATAACTTCTTGTAGCAAATTAGCAATGAAGACCCCACTCTTCACTTCGCCTGAACAATCCACTGCCTTGAGAAACAAAGGAGCACTTTCAGAAATAGCAATGAAATTAGTGAGAGGCTTTCTTTGAGGATCACTCCAACCGTCTGAGACAATAGTTACCCCCTTTTCTGACCATGTTGACTTCAGTTTTACTAATTTCTTCTCAACATGAACTCTCTCTTTATCTAGCAAAGTAGTTCTCAACTTGTTATACCCAGGGGGCACATAACCATCAAGTTTATTGTCAGKAYCAAACTGATATGACCTATAATAGTGAGGGTTTCTTGCAAGATTAAACGGCAGACCTGCAGTGAAGAACATTCTTGCGATTTCTTGGTCCAATTGATCCCTTGCTGCAATACCAAATGATCTTTCAATAGGTGATAAACAAGACTTCCTTTTCTTGTAGGCTTGATCCGCTTCACAAGGCAATGGAACTTCTTTTCTTCCCGKCTCTTTCTTCTTCTTCTCAAACTCGTCATCCAACATTTTAAGTTCAAGCTTCTTACTCATTGGTACAGCCTTACAAATAGCAATTCCATACCCTGTTTTCCAAGTAAATGTGCTCTAACTCTGGAATACGAACCTTGTTTAGGTTTAGTGTCACGACAAAAATGACATGTAAAACTCCAAGTTCCTCCAGTTTTTCTCTCTACTTTAGTCACATAATGCCACAAAGGAGCTTCTCCACTTTCAACTTCAAGTTCAACTGATGAATTGGTAGACTCATTACCAACGCTTCCTTGAGAACTATTCACTGCATATGTAAAATAAAAATTTGAGAACTATCCACTTTCAACTTCTGTTGATTTTTATTCTTCTGTTGACTATCTAGTCTGTTGATCTTTTATTCTTTGAAACGAAATTTAATTTATATAATTTTTTCTTTGTTAATAGAAACAAAAAGAACACGATCAACAGAAGAAAAAACCAAACTACATAATAGACTACACGATCAAGTTGAAACAAAATCTAAATTATTTTATTGTTTAAACAGAGGCAAAACAGAGTGTAGCGATTCCCACTTACTTGTTTTGGACGTGCCGGTGAGTTACTTACGAGTTACGACGGAGTGAAATCGTGATGTGATTGTGAGAGACGTCAAAGCAAACAAGCGTGAAGAAAAGCTGAAGAGAGTTCTAGAGAAGGCGATGAGTCGATCATAGAATGGTATATGCAAACCCTAGTTAAAAAAGCCCATTAAAACCTTTTTTGTTTGTGTTTTTTTTTTAGGAAAATTAGGTAAATCTGATAATTAATCCAAGGGACGCCGACTTTTTCGAGGAAACGTACCGGGGACGTCCCAGTTTCTGAACAACGGCGTACCCGTCTTCGGCTGGCCGTACTTTTCTTCACGGGACGTCGCGGGAACGCTCCGATGCAGTATCAGTGGCGTATTTGGTACGGGGACGTACCCGGTACGTGATACGGCTTCAAAATAACGTCCCCGTGCATCATAGAAGCATACATCAGTCACTATTTTCTTAAATGCAAAATATATTTGCAGCTGATCGCTAAAATTGATATAAGACTGGGTCGGCTCAAAAAAAAATTATTTTTCGGCCTATTATATATGTCAATTTATTTTTACTTTAAAGATGGAGAAATATATAGAATGTAGTACATATATGACTTCGAACCCTTCACCCAGAAGACGAGAGAATTGTGCTGCAACCTGAAAAAGGAAAAGAATCTCACACCTATCAGATCTTCACTATATTTGGAATGTTGAGCTGTATATCCTTAGACCAAATCTATAAGTAATTAAGTTTTGATATTGTGTCTTCTTAATTAAAATTAGATGTATCCATGGTTTATTTTTTTCTCTAAATATCAAGTTTAAATTTTATTAAACAAAATTGGATGTTATTTCCTTTATTTAGTTTAAGAAAAATATAACAAATTAAAGGAAAAAAAAGTACCATATCTCTTATGTACATGCATCCAATTCTCAGATTTTGTAAAGATATGATTTAAAACTTAATATATACTATATATGTCATTAGAAGGTAGAAAGCAGTTATCGCTATACAACAAACTTTTCCGAGAGAGAAAAAAAACGGAAAAGAAATCCGACAGATGGCCGCCCCACTGATTCCGGATCCGCCGTTAGAGCCATCTCCTCCTCTAAAATATCCCACCGTCTCCCCCACCGAAGTCACTCGATCAGATCGGATAAGAAATCCTCATTGCTGGTCCAATCTTCCTCAAGAACTCTTGCTATTGGTTTTTGAACGTCTTGGTTTTGCCGATTTCGAACGAGCTAAATCTGTTTGTTCACCTTGCCAATCCGCTTCGAGACAAGCTAAACCAAACAACCAAATCCCTTGGATGATTATATTCCCCAAGGACAAGAATTATGGTCTCTTGTTTAATCCTGAAGAAAAAGACAGAGTTTACAAAACCCAAGACCTTGGCAACGACTTTTCCCGGTGTTTTTGCATGGCGACTTATAGAAGCTGGCTGTTGATGCTAGACCCTCTCTACACTGACGACTTTCAACACAATTTTTATATTTTAGATCTTCTAACCCGCGAGAGGATCATCAACCTACCAACTATGGCATCAGGGCTTCACTCTCCAGTATTTTGGATAGACGAGAAAACCAAAGATTACCTAGTCATTGGGATGTTTGGCGAAGATCATGCGGTTTGTCTCAAGAAAGGAGATAACTCGTGGAAACAAATTCCATCCCTGTCAGGTATCGAAGAGTGTTTTAACATGGTATACAAGGATCATAAGCTTTATTGTCTCAACTATTGTAAGCTCAAGATTTTCGATTTTTCTGGAGAAATTCCGGTGAAAATTTTCAGCATTACCGTGCCTGGATGCATAAAACCATTATTGATGCTTCCCGGAAGATTTCCACATAATTTCTCTTGGACTCGTATGAAGAATAACGTAGTTGTTACGGTAAGTGGACATGTCTTAATTGTTAACTGCATACGTCGGAGTATGTCCAAAATATGGAACTTTGAAATCTACAAGATGGATTCACCGAAAGGGAACAAGTGGGTGGAGATTTTTTCTTTGGGAGACGAGGCAATTCTTTTGGATTTGGGCATCACAGTGCTCGCCAAGGACACTGAAGGTATTAAGAAAAACTCGATCTACTTCAATGGCACTGATTTTGAAGGTCAATATGATGGAAATGATAGCTTCATATTTAATCTTGACACAAAGACGATTGAACAACCACACCAATTTTTTTGCTCGTATGTTCCATGCTCTAATGTGCGATGGTTCTTACCATGTTTCCAACGGGAATAATTGATTGATTTGATACTGTCTTATATGTTTTTCTCTTTGGTGTTTTTTTTATATATCTATGTATCCCTTTTTCTTAATAAACATTTGGTAAGATTTTGCTTACGGCTACTGTTTTAGATCTTTTGCTCTTCTTGTGTTAAAAATTGACAACTACATAGTTTGAAAGTTAAAGGTTTTAAAAAGCGTTAGATTACGAAATATAACTTTATAATAATACCTTGTGACCAAACAAAAAAAAAAAAAGAAGTTTATAATAGTACCTAGTGCAGATCATCTCCAACCTTAAAAAGGATAAGAATCTCACACCTATCAAATCTTCATTATACTTGGAAAGGTGAGATGTATATATATAT